GGTAACCAGCAAGAGTTCACCGGTCCGTTCTCGCCCCCCCCCTGGCTCGGCCTCCCTCTAACTTGCCCACCTCTCTCGTTCGCCATACTGCGCCGCCCTCCCTCCCCCCCCCTCCCCCCTCCCCCTCTCGGATGATCCAAACAACAGCCATGGCTCATCCCCCTTCTTACGATTGCCTACGCCATTGTTCTGGTTGTGGCGATTTTCCTTCAGCGCGGCATTGCCCCCTTCCAGGAAAACTACATGGTCGGGCCCTCGAACACATTGCTCATTCGTCTCGGTGCCAAGTTCGAGCCGTGCATGCGCGGCCCCTCGCTACAGGCGCGCGCGGCATACGATCTTCTCGGTGACGGGTCTGATCCCTTCGAGGCATTGGACACTGTGGTTGCCTGTCCCCCGACGTACAACGGGCGCACGGTCAATGGTTCTGGCATCTTGTGCACTTACGGCGATGCCATGTCCTCCACTTGCGGCATGGGCGGTTTCAATGTGCTAGGCCTCGGCCCGGTGCGTACCAACGGCCTGCAGACGCTCGACGCACAGGACAGCGCCAGTGACAGCTGGAAGTCCGCCGGAACAAGCGCTCTCCCCCCTGCGCCGGCCAGCCTGCTGCTCGGGAATGCGATTGTCAACGCACCGGCCACCACGCCGCAAAATTCGCACCCGAGCATGAGCGGTGTGCCGGACCAATGGTGGCGTCTTATCACACCGATCTTCATCCACTCTGGCATTGTGCACTTGGTTGGGGTGTCCACCATCCACATGTACATGGGGTACCGCTTGGAGCAGGATATGGGAGCCCTACGCGTTGGTCTCATCTACTTTGTATCGGGCATCTTTGGCAACACCGTCAGCGCCAATCTGTCCCCCTTCCGCATCACGGCCGGCTCGAATGCCGCACTCTATGGCCTGTCGGCGGTGGTCCTGATGGACTTGATCCAAAACTGGCGCCTCCTGGTGTATCCGTGGTTCGCGGCCTTCCTGATGGTTTTCTGCATGGCCCTGGCCTTCTTGCTGGGCATGTTCGTGCCGCACTTTGACAATATTTCCCACATCGGTGGGTTTGTGGCTGGAGCGCTGGCCGGGCTGGTCCTTTCGCCACGCATCACCTTCAACCGCCGTGACAAAATCATCAAAATCACCATGGCCTGGGTGGCTGGCATTGTCTTGGCCGGCCTCCTGGCCGTCAGCATTTGGTTCTTCTTCCAGGATGGCACGGAATGGTCCGGCTGTCTGTGGTGCCATCACCTCACTTGCATTCCCCTGTCGTATGCTTGGTGTCATCCAATTATGGCCCCCATCTCCACCTAGTGACCTGCCAATGGGAGCCCTTCCCGTTGTGTCGACCCCCTTCTTCGAGGCCGCCTTCTTCTCCGCGCGCCCCATCATGATCTGTAGTTTCCTGCCCTCTTCCTGGCCAAATGTGTCCCCCCCCCCCTCTCTCTCTCTCTCTCTCTCTCTCTCTGCTCCCCCTCCTGCGTTCTATCCTCTCGGAGCGCCCTAGACCCACAATCACTGTCCTTGTCACATATCACACAATAGAGATCATGTTACTTCATGAAAGGAGAGAGAACACCATTCTCACAAATGGACCCTATCCGTTGGCAACTGTATCGATAGCGCTGCAGATCTCCGACAGGAGATTCGGCATCCCAGAGGTTCCTGACTTGTGGTGGAGAACAAGTCACTTCCCGTGTGGCCAAAAGCAAGGGCACATAGGCCTCGGAAGGATGGCACAGGCATCGGCGGCCCCTCTGCTGTGCATGTGAACGTGGTGCCAGGAACAGGGTGGGGCTGCGGGGGGGGGGGGGG